CAATTGTAATGTACACACATCTTATGTTGAGGTTGATTTCACATACGTACACTACTTTGACGTTAGCTTGTCTACATACTTGAGCATAGCCAATTTAAATTAACCTTAGCGATGCATACAATTCCTACATACATAATAAAATATCTCTCTAAGTTACAAGGATGACCTTATTTTACCAACCTCAAACAGAAGCCGTTTGTTCTACAGTATTATCCCACTTAACGCTTAACATGTGTCTATTTCGTTTGAACCTTTATACAATCTATGGTTTTAACTTGGAGTCTACGATTAGCATCGTTAGCACAGATGTAGCTACCACTCGCTTACACGCTAACCTAAACCTTAACATTCCATACGTAGCTGATTAAAATCATCCTCTTAAGCCCCAAGCCTGTTTTTCAGGTTTCAGGCTCGAAAATGACATTCCCAGAACAAATGACCATATCTTCCCTTCTAAAAGGGTTAAATTAATAATCTTTTATCTCAAAGTAATGATAAACCTGTGAGTTGGATGTAGAAAAGTCAGAATCAATATAGATGTTTTTTTATTTTTAAGAAAATTCAGATTGAACATGGTAAAAAACTGTAAATTATAGTGTCCGTCCCAAAGATATTTTGTACTTATAGTGAAAACTAACCTTGGATGATGGGTTAGTAGACTAAAAGCTTTATGAATCCAAACTACAGCATATAATAAGTACCCTGTATCAAGATTGATGCAAAACAAGTGATATTTGACCTTTTTAGACAGATTTAGCAAAAGAAAACCTACTTCTGGGGTCATTTGGGCGGAAATGGGTGTATTTGCCGTTTCTCTGGAACCCATTGGTTGATTTTGATGATTGACATCTCATTTGAACCGTTAGAGCCAATAGAATCGAAGGGGGATTCCCACATACACACACGTTACCATTGAGAAATGAGAGATTTTACGCTCTGAAATCTGAAAACTAGGTTTATTGCTGATGGATTATCAGAAATCATTTCAAAAGGACACATTGGATTAACCTGTGGATTAACCTTCAGCAGCGTTTTTATCGTTTTAATGCCATTGAAGACAACTTTTGATCAGAACACAACAAAGGTCAGACATATTGCCGTGTTGGCTACCTAATGCTACGTGGTGTGATGTCTTTGTTAGCTTCTCATGTCGCGAGTTCGGATCGGTCAGTAATGATACTAATACCTGTCGAATCTCAACTTGCTAATCGAAATCTTGTTTGTGCAGATACGAGTATAAGTAACAAGGGTATTTTAACGTGAGTTCTGTGCTACTGTAAGTGTGTTAGCATTTTTTCGCTCAGGGCTAATTCAGAGCCTTTGCTATTACCCTTATTTTTCGTTTTGCAAAACATTGTTAATATAGTCTGAGTTTCTTCCCGTTAAGTGGGTATGACACATTAATAGGTTTTTAAATGTTAAGAAGCCCTCAGACGCTGTTTCTTGCAGATGTTGCGATTTTTCCCCCGCCCGCGGGGGAATGGGGCTTAACAGGTTGACCATTAAAACAAATAAAATGACCTATTAAAAGTTGTTTTCTGAAATATATAATGACTGAATAAACCTCAGACTGAATTGTTTCTTAGATGAGACGGACGAATGCACTTTTGTGGCTCAACAAGAAACCGTAGATTCATGTTTTTAGTAATTAAATTGCAAATGCTAATAAATACAAATGTGTTGTGAAGATACATTATGCTCATCCTACAAAAAGAAAATAATAATGATAAATATGAAGAAGTGAACGGATCAAATTGAAAATGGCATAAATCATGACCTCTGATTGTAAAAATGTAATTCCTGCGTCCTAAATCAGATGGATTATGGTTAATTTAGGTGCTATTTCCTTCTCATTTGAAGTGTTTATCCAATAGGAAAAGCAGCTCTAAGTGCTTAAAGTTCAGCCGTACAAAGAAAGCACATAATCCGTTTGTATTTGGATGTAATCAATGCTGCAAAAAATGGAACACACTCCTGCTGAGGAGAAGAGTGGAAGTGTGGGTGTGTGTGCCAAAACACGACTGTCAATCAGAGCAGAAAGTGTCTCAAAGAGCTGCAAATATCCAAGAAGTCATTAACAGAAGGCGGAGTGAATAATACTTCAAGCAGTATACGGCAGGCTCTGCGTATTAAAACTCTGTGTAGAGATTTGTATATAATTAATGACGCATGTCTAATGTTTCAAATTAAGCCTGCGTGGTAATTATCAGGCCAGAAAAAAATCATACTTTATTTCAATAAATCCAATAATTCTTGAGTTTGGACCAGAAATTATTCAAATAAGCTTTCTTTAAAATATCTTAACCGGCTGTGTGGAAGTAGAGCATGTAAATAAAACACATTTTTCTTCAATTTTGGTTCATTCTGATATTCAGAAACACGTCTTTTAATCATTTTTTTAAATAGACTCTTACCCAACCTTTCACTAAATCTTTTCTCCCTTTAATACTTAATATTTCAAACATACTCCGTTTTTTATTTTTCAATACATCCAACTTTTGTGATGGTTTTGGCAACATGCAAATACTTTTCTCATTTGTTTCATTCAAGATGCATAGATGATGGTGAACAGAGAACATACATAAAAAATAAAAACACCATGTATGTGTTTTACAAATCTGTGTACATATATTTGCATTTACACGACAGTTGTGGTACTCGGTGACACATTGCAGTACTCTCCCAAAAAGTACACAAGTGTCTGTGTTTACTTTACAGTACCTTTTTGTATTGCACACACTCAATATGTTGTGTGTATGTCAGTGTGTAGTGGAGTGTCCTGTGCCCCTGACTCATTAATAACACACACTATTGATAAGCCATGTGTCAGAAGACCGCAGATAAACAGCATCAAATTAAAAAGCGTTTGATTTGAATGTAAAACGACTAAAAGCTGTGAACAAAACGCAGCTCACAGTGAGTTCAAGCTGCCCTGTTAGACTTACTGTATCCTTTATAAAATGTGTTTTTGTCAGTTTCCTCACACACACAGTGTCAGAGTGCCCCCTGGTGGTCAAACGATGAAATGTCCTCTGATGCAACAGGTGAGTAAAACATCCCACATGTGTATTAATGTTCATTTAACCTTATTTTTTCAGTGTTAATTGTGCGAGACAGCGTTCCCTCGAACCTCAGCGATGATTTCGTCCCCAGATCTGTCACTGTAATGAGGAAGTAAACTGCTGGGGATTCTGGGTAATGTAGTTCCTCACATGTGTATTATTTTCATTTGGCTCTTTCACCCTGGAGTAATGCACCTTGGTCTAACCTGTTTAGTAGCGACTCAAGTTCCCTTGCGGACAAGGCGACTTCATTTTGAATTTTTTTTTTTCC